ACTCTTTGGCATTAAGAGCTTGTTTTTTGATGAACTTAAGTAACTCTTCTTTAGGAAGACTTTCAAGCTTGACTGCAATTTTACTTGGCGTTGCAGCATTTTCCTAAAAAATTAATTTAAATTAATTAAGTTTAAAGAGAACAAGAAAAACCAAATAGAAAAGTGCAAACAGTTTAGAAACAGCAAAGTTCAAATTAAACATGATTTAAAACTAAAAAAAGAAGAAAAATTACATTACGCAAAAAATAAAAATAAAAAAATAATAATAAAATAAAAAAATAGTAATATTTTAAGGAAAAAAAGTGACAGGTAGTGATAAAAAAATACAAATTCAACTTAGCAATAAGTATGCCAAAATATAATATTTTTTACAAATTAAATATAACTATATATATATATATATATATATATATATATATATATATATATATATATATATATATATATATATATATATATATATATATATATATATATATATATATATATATATATATATATATAATATATTTAAGTGTAAACATACAATTACATACAATAATTAAATTTATTTGTGGTTAGAGATTTTGTGGTACATTGTGGTACATTGTGGTTAGAGATTGCAAATTCCTAGATTATTTACATTGGCAGAATAGCAAGAATCATTTACAATGTTTAAGGGATGTTGCCTATTGTAATTAACTATATACAATTTCTCATTATTTTTTAAGATATTTTTATATCTAAAGTGACTTCTTAGAAAAATTAGTGCATCAACATAACTGTCTGTTAATCTAGTTCTAAAATTTGTAAAAAATAATCTAGTTAAACTGAACACCTTCTATACTGTTTAAACTGAACACCCTCTGTACTCTAATTGAACTAAACACCCCATCACCTAGACTCTATACTGGTTGGATGAACAGTTAAAAGAGTATTATTAAGCATATCCAAATTATGAAATTTTTTTGTTAGCTTCAAACAAAAAAATTTTCTGACACATTTGCTTTATTGCAGATTATTTGAAAGTTGTATTTTTTTAAATTTATTTTTATCCTTTAGCCATATATTTAGATGAATATTTTCTTTTTTATATCTCTAATTATATTTTTAATTATAGAAATAAGCCTATCAGTTAGTTTAATATCTAAATGTATCTGCATTAATAGCCATAAATTTCAAAGTGTCAACTTTTAATAATGTTGCTTCTCTTCTACAAATCATTTCAAAACCTAAGAATAGTTTCCAGAAATTTTGCTAAATTTTTGACTATTTTAAGTTCATCATTAGACAACATGTCTAATGATGAACAACAGAGATATACTGACTATTTTTTTAATATTAATATATTTTTGAATAATGGCCAGCATTAAATTTCAACAAGTTTTGGAATCTAAAACTAGTACTAGCTAATATCCAAATTCATTTTTAGAATAAAGTTATAAAGAATCTATTATTATTTAAGATATTTTTTTACAAATTACAACAACTTTTTGAACCAAAATATTGCGAAGCTCAGCAATAAGAGTTTGGTCACATTCATTTTTTTCTATATCATTATCAAAAATATCAAAATCATCATCATTAGAACTTTGATTATTATTTTTACTTTTTATCTACAAGCTACACAAACAATTACATCAACAACAGCTAAATTTATTGCATGTGCAAAAGCAAAGTTGATATTCAGCAGGAGAAAATTTCTTATAACAGAAGTACTATCAATTGTTATGCTTTTGTAAAATTGTATACTTTATTAGGGAAAAACTTATCTTAACATCTCAAATTTTTTGATAAGTAATTCGTAGTAATTATTTGAAATGTGAAATCCAAAATTCAAATGAAAAAAAAATTAAACTCTTTCTTTTTTCTTCAAGTATTTTATTCTTGATTCTATTTTATTTAACTATATCCATATAACATTTATAGATAAGATTTATGACATTTTATTATGGTAAAACCTAGTCTTTATCACGAGGCAACACTTGGCAGTAAATAGACCAAATCATTTTCTTAATGGAATTTTTTTTTAAAGAACTAATTGAACATAATCATTTTTATTCACAAGTTCATTAAAAATAATATTGTAGATTTTTTTAAATTTTTCAATTCAAAAGGGGAACAAGTTAAATTAGTTTTAAAATATATTCTCTATCCACCAGCAATTTCTTAAAAAAATATTATATAGCAGATAAAAAAATAGCATGATAGCACTTTGGTTACCTTGTATTTGTTTTCTAGTATTTAGGAGGACAGGAGGGCATTTATTTAAACTATTTTTTTTTTAATTTATAGTTTATAGTAGTGAGTTATAAGTTTTTAGTAGTGAAAAGCATTTTACAAACAATTTAAGCTTACTTGATCAGATTTTTTATATATTTTTCCAATGATATATAACTATCTAGTATTTAATCAGTTTAAAAATTTTACTCCACACACCTAATATCTATAAATTTTGTGAAATAGTAGCTATTTTTAGAGTGTTTTACTTTGCTTCTTTTTTTATCTATATCTATATATATATATATATATATATATATATATATATATATATATATATATATATATATATATATATATATATATATATATATATATATATATATATATATATATATATATATATATATATATATATATATATATATATATTATATTATTTACTATATATTTACCCTTAAACAAGCCTCATAATACGCCTATATGCCTGGTAAATAGCTATTATTATACTGTGATACTATGATGGTATAAAAAAAATTAGGTGTTTACTTTATATTACTTTATACTCTTTGTAAATGACATTGAATAATTGTTAAAAATATATTTATTTTTGGATTAAACCAAAATAAAATGTGTAAAAATCAGGATATTTATACATATATACATAAAAAATCAGGATATTTGAACTTCAGCAATTTTTAATTTTACAAATATATTTTAACAACCAAACAACTTATATTATAAAAATAAGATTAAAAATCTATGTTTTAGAGATTCTTATAGAACTTGTATAGGATGATTATTATGAAAGAACTTTTTTTGAATACTTGATAAGTCTAGTGATTTAGAAAATGCAATAACATAAAATGAGAAGAAAAATATAAATAAGGAGTTAAATAGTAAACAAAATTAGTATAAACATATGTATAATGTAAGCTATAGAATAAAACGTAAGTGAATTAAAAAAATAATAATAAAAAAAAAGATGTAGTTGATTAGATTCGTTTTATCCTGAATATGCACACTATTAGTTATGTCATTTGTCATTTTTATGTCCTTATTTACTTCAAGTGAAAAACATAAATAAATAAAAATCATTTATAATCTTAAAATTAAAAAAAACTGAACAATAAAACTACCATTTAGAGGACTTTTTTTATAGAAGTTGTAAGGGCTTGTAAAAATATGAAATTTTTAGCATTTTTCAAAGCTCTCAACCAGCTATTGTTTATCAATAATGCGCCATTATGTGAAGATAAAGATCCCGCAAATCATGCTCACAAAGAGGTGACTTAAAACACTTAGGACTTAGCTTAATCTTTTTTAAGTTTTTGGTTGATCAAAAATGACAACAAAACTAGTTGTTGTATACAACAAAGTTTTTTTAAAACTATTAGTAGAAGAACTTTGTTTTAGTTAATCTGCTCGACTTTAATGCTTTTAAAAGTTTTTTAGTATCTATGATGTATAATATATTTTTTATATCCACATTTTTATATATCCAGCCCCATAACGTTAAATTTTATGAAAAATGAGGCAGTTTAGAATACCAATAAATATTTTTTGATTTTCTTAACAAAATTTGAGCGAAATAAAGAGCACTTTGCACAAAAAAAGGGTTGATTGCATCTAACTATCCCCTCCCTCTCCCCCACGGTACGGGCCGAATGTCTATTTAATGACATGCAAAGTTTTGGTAAGATTTTCTTATCGTTGTTTAAACTTTTTTATGTTATTCTTTTTAAATTAGAGAAATTGTCGATCGTTACTAATTTTAAAGCGTTTGCACAGCTTGTCAAGCATTTATCCAACCGTGTAGCGACAACATTTACCATTTCTGTTTTTGTTTTTGATTTATACTCATGATTTTTATTTTTTAAATAATTTTTCATCTTAAGAAACTCTTCTCCTAAGATAAGGTTTTGGTTTATCTGACTTTCTTTTTTTTTTTTTTAATCTAATTTTTTTACCATTAAATTACGGGAACAGTAAAAATATAGACAAGTGAAAACTCAATTTAACACTTGCCTCGTTTTGTTTTTAAGTTTTAGTTTGTGATTCTTTTTTTAATGATTTATTTATATTTAGTTATTAGTTATGACAATGGCATATCAAGAAATATTTTGATATTTTCGAAAGAATATCATTGCTTAACAATATTCTTTAACTTCAAGGGGCGGATGCAGTGATTTTTGTTGTTTGAGGTGGCTAACTACAATGCAATTATTAGGGTCTGGGAACAAAAAAGTCCAAATATTTTGGCCAAAACTGCCCCAAATGTGAGAGCAACAAGTTGATAACATTTTTTTTTTTTTTTCACTATTCTAAATTAATATTCACCGACCATTTTTAAATTTCATACAACAATTTTTTAGCGTTCAAAAATTATGGTCTTAAGGTGAGTTTCCACTCATCCGTTTTTTCACGGGAACGGGAAAGGGAAGGGAAAAATAATCACGTCGGCATGCGTATTATAAGTTTTAATCCTTCCGAAGTAAAACTACGCATGCTCACGTGATTATTTTTCCCTTTCCTATCTCGTTCCCGTAGAAAAACGGATGAGTGGAAACTCACCTTTATTACACCAATTTAATAACCCTAAAGTTGAGGGGAGTTTATATAGTCATTATTTTTGAACGCTACGAGCGTTATTATTGTTTTATTGGATGAAATTTAAAATTTACCAATGAATATAAATTTAGTTGAGAATAGTAAAAAAGTATTTTATCAGCTTGTTGCGCTCACGTTAGGGGCAATTGTGGTCAAAATTTTAGAATTTTTTTTGTTCCCAGGCCCTAATCATCGCAATTTTTTGCAAAGCATTATTATTTGACATTGAAGTATAAACAATGTTTATTAATATAAATTTAAAATTTACATAAATAAAAAAAAATTTATATTTATATATCTAATAATGACATAAGTATAAACAATGTTCATTTATTTGAATGTAATAATTATTTGATTATTCTTATCGTATAAATTTTTATTAGCTTTTTTTTATTGAGTTTATACTGTGTAAGAGCATCAACAATAATAAATAATCAACAAAAAAATAAGTTTAATAAACATATAATTGTTTGGAGCTCGCTCTATGTCTGGAAGTTAGCTCCCAGACATGGATCTCAAAAAACAAAAATTATTGCACTCCACCCCCTGAACTTTGCTTATAATCATTTTTTTGTTGATAAATTTTTTTTTTTTTTTATTCATATATTTGCCGTACATATAACATTTACAAGTTTCGTAAATTAAAAGAAAAATTAAAAAAAAACGTAACACAATATAATATAAAACACTTTCTTAAGATGTGTTTGATATATATTATGATTATGTTAAATATAATTATATATTAAGTACAACTATATTTTTATAATCTTTAAATTAAGCTCATAATAAAAAATAAACTCAAAATAAGCTCAGTATAAGAAATTAGACATAACAAGCAGCATAATAACTAAAATTGATAAGAAAAAATCAAGTGTTTTTTTTTGTGTGTAATAAACAATTTTTGAGATATTGTTTGAGAAAGGTAAGAGTCATTTAGATAATACACATAAAGGAGTTAGTTCACTTTGTAGTTGATATATATGTATTTTAATTTATAGTCTTAGAAGAATTCTGAATATCTGTTTAGATTTAGTATCAGATTTTTTAACTTTTTTTTCAAGGAATTTTGATTATCTAGATTGCAAATTGATTTATTTTTAGATACTAGTTTGTTGTATAAATAAGGACCCCGATATGAAATTAAGAACTGGGAAAGTTTTGTTTTTTTGAAAGGTGTAATTAAGTTTCCTTTTTCTCTTGTGTTATATTAATTAACGTTATTTAAAAAAAGGTTTGGTACTTGACCTAATTTAAATTTTAGCATAAACAATTTATGTTGGTAAATGTTAATTTGATAAATATTAAGCACATTCATTTCTTGAAATAAGGGTTCAGCGTGTGTAAATTTGTCTTTATGGTAGATTAGTCTTACAGCATGTTTCTGACGTAGATATAAAGTTTTCAATTTGGTTATATGCGTACTCGCCCAAGCTATATTCGCATATATGAGGTAGCTGTGTATAAAAGAGAAATATATAAGTTTTAAATTACTTTGCGACAGCATAGGTTTTGCTTTATAAAGTAGACCTATGTTTTTTGATATTTTAGTGTTTAAATTTGAAGCTCTTACATAATATAAACCCAAATAATTATTAAAGTTGTTCTGTTTAGCACAAAATTAGTGACTATTTTTTATGAAAATACAAGCACTTTTTAATCAATTTTTATTATACATGTTTTGAACGATATTGTTTAGTCATTGATTAGTTAAAATGTATAGAATTACAATATTAAATAAACCTTATATATACGAAAATCAAAATCTGCCAATGGTATTATTAAAAGTGTGCTACAGAAATCTATCAAAATATATACCTAAATATATTTTCTATATGTTTTAAGTCTAATTTAATCGGTTGCATAGTTATAAAGCGTTGCATAGTTACAAAGCCTTGCATAGTTATAAAACGGGAGATTTTCACGATTTTAAGTCATAATATTTTGTTTTTAATTCTCTCTGAAAATCCATTGTAAACTTTTTTTCTGAAATTTATTCATGCTATAAAAGTTTGTTTTTTTCACAATTTGTTGATTTTGGGCAACTTTTTATTAAATTTTTATTGTTTTAAACTTTTATAATACTTTTAAAGTCAATTTTGAAAAAAACCACTTCGAATTGATCATATAAATAATAATACTGTAAAGAAAAAAGTTTCGAGTTCGATATTCTTCACGTCCCTGATAGTACCGCGCTCAACTTGTTTCTCCGCACAGCGCATTATGTGTTTTGGGGTGGCCAAAATACAAAAATCTCAGATTTGAAAAGAAAACTTCTACTTTTTTAAAATACTCAGGAAAATCCAAAATATTTTTACTCTGGTTATAGTAGTCCCTGACCCGACGGGCATTTCTTTTTAAAAGTTACGATCTAAATGTGTTTTAAATGTCTTTTAAACGTCTTTTAAACATTAATGTTTAAAAGACGTTTAAAAGACATTTAAAACACATTTAGAACGTAACTTTTAAAAACAAATGCCCGTCGGGGAGAGTCAGCAAAGTTAAAAATGGTTGCCAAGTATAAGTTTTTTTGAAAAATTATATGTTTTTGCTTTTCATGCAGTGTTTCATGAATAATTTTTGTTTTCTGCTAATTTATATGTTAAAAGGTATCAAATTATTTACGTTTTAAGATGCTCATAATAAAAAAAAACTTTTTCAAAAAAAAAAGCTGAAAAATTATTTTTAAATCGGAACTTTCGTGAACTCGCAAAAAAAATGGTATCAAAAGTTATTGACTAAGCTATTATTAAATAAAGTGGAACGTATTTTTAAGAAACTTAAAAATACGTTCCACTTTATTTAATAAATAAAGTGGAACGTATTTTTAAGTTTCTTTTGAAACTGCGACTTTTGTGACTATGGGAGAGATTTCTATTTGAAGTTTGCGTTACCTGGATTATAGCCAATTTTCAATTTTTTGTTTTCCCAAATGATAATTGATCAAAAGTATACATTAGACTTTGAATTCAATAATCAATTGAAAATGATAGTTTACTATTGATAATTGATATTTAATTAGATAATTATTTGCATATGATATATTATTCCATGCTTTAAAATAACATTCCATGCTTAAAATTAAGATAATTTAAAAAAAGATGTTTTCTTTTTAAGTTTCAAAAATGAAAGTTATATATTAATCTAATAATTTTGTATTTTTCACGTTTTTCATATTAATAAATTAAAAAGTTGTATATTAATCTAATAAAAGTAATGGATTTTAAAACTAAAGACATTATTAGATGTTTAAAGAATTCAACAAAAGAAGAAAACATAATTAACGCTTTATTATTTCCAAACTTCTAGAGTTTGCGTGAGCGATAGTAAAAAAGAGAAGTTGGTAGAAAAGCTAAATGGAATTGAATAGAATTACCAAAATGGTTTTGGTAAGAAACACAGAAAGTGATTTAATCAAAAATTTGAAATGGACTTGAGATTCAAATGAGATTCTCATAAGTTCTGTCTCCTTGAAATTTAGACGGACAAAGAAAGTTGTGCTCAAGCTTCTAGAAGAAGTAATGAGTTTTTTAATTTTAGAAGTAGACCATAAGGAGTCAATAAAACTGTCAAATCTAGAATCATCAGAGGTAAAATAATCAAAACCAACAGAAATTTATAATTTAGAAGATGTAATAATGAACGATTTAGAAGCTTCTCATAAAAATCATTTGGAAGATAAAAACATTGTAGCAATATTGAAGTAAAAATTTGAAAAAAATTATTACTTTAGCTTAATTTTTTTCAAGTTATTTTTCCATTGTGTTTCTAATGCAATTTCAAAAGATAATTTTAAATATTTTCTTATCTTTTCAAAAATCAAAGGAGCTTTTAAACTTTTATAGAAATACTAGTGTCCTCTTTGGCATTTATGGCCTGCTACACAATTTCCTGATTAGGTCTGTGGGGGGTAATGGGTTAACTTTACAAGTAAATTACTCCAACAAAATAATATAATTAGTAATACACAACATAATTAGTTACGTGGCTAGTAGTTCGAATTCCTCCTCTGGAAAAACCAGTCATTAGGTCCCAAGAAAATTTTAAGGTGGTACATACCTGAAAAATAAATATATGTTTATAATTATGTCTTTTAAGTTTATTAAAAATAAATAGGGAAATACCCAAATTATGCAGATTTTTTGTTTCAATATATCCTTCGATTGCAAAAAGATATTTACATTAAACTTTGCAAGCTAATCAATAATGGTACAATGCAAAAATTTAATAAATTAAAAGTATAAATTTTTGCTCAATCACAATAATTTGAGTAATTTTCACCAAAAAGAAATATAAAGATGCATATAAAAATGAGTAAAAAAAAAACAAAACAATTTTAGCATTTTTTTAGCTTAGACCTTTATGTAAAGAATGAATCCTGAAACTTTTAATAAAATAAATTTTAAGTTAAATTTTTTTTTTGTTAAATTTTTGGACCAAAATTTAACAAAAAAAATGCGTACCTGAGAAAATCTTATTAAAAGAATAAAAATTAATTTAAACAATTACTATAAAATTTTAAAAGTTCTAGAAACATACATAAGTCAAAATAAGAAGCTCTATAAACTATAAAGTTAATTTCCTTACTGAATGAACACATTTAAGATAGGAAATAAAATAAATTTTGGTATCTCTCTAGTTGCTAAGACCGTTGGAGTTAGCACCCAGAGAGAGACCGAAACTTATTTAAGGAGCTGAAAATTATTTAGTTTAGCATTTGAAAAACATTTTCAAATGCTAAATTAGAGTAATTTAAATACTGTTTTGTCTAAATTTTATTTTATTTTTAGAATTAGCAATGTCGAATTAACCAAAATTGATAATTTAAATTTTAAAGCTTCGACTTTTTTAAGGTACCGCCTTAAAAAACTTAGCTTTATTAAGTCGTACTAAAAAAAAAAATTTAGAAACTTGTACTTTTATATAAAATCTTTTAAAATCGGGTCAAAACATAGCACCGTCCAGGTTTTTGAACTTTTAATTTAATAAATTGTTTAAATGATAAAAAGATAAAAAATAAAATTAAATTTATTATTTCCTTCAAAACTATTTTTGGCCACCAAGTTGAATGAAATTACAACATACTGCAGCGGTCTTGCTTGTTAAGATTTGTGTTTTGGAGTTAATGAATTGAGAGAGGATTGTAACCACTAGTAAAAAGCCTCCTTCATAGTAGTGGCCTAACCGACTCTGGGGAGGTGAATTGACTTTTTAAAATAATGGGTATACCACTGTAGTGGTATGCAGTAAGCTACCTATTTTACTACTCGGCCGTGTGGAAAAAAAATAAATAAAAAAATAATGGAAAAAAATATAAATACTGAACCTATAGCTATAACTATACTTATAGAAGTTTCAAGAGATTGCTCTCATCGGTTGTAAAAATAACGAGTACAATCTTGAAATGTGGAAAGATGATTTATGTATGATACAAAATGTTAAACGAAGCTCTAACTTGTGAAACTGCAAATTACCTTTTGAGTAAGCATTTGTTATCCATTATCAACACACACACAGATATATAACAATCTAAAAACAACTGCAGCTCAGAGAAATATAGAGAAAACTAATTAACCGTTCAACTCCTACATTGCGTCATAGTAAATTATTTACCATAAAATATAAAATGAGAGTATGATCAGACAAGTTTCCTGACAGAGCACTATCGTTTAAAAATCGATATTTTTCGTTTAACTTAGGCTACAATGCTCGAAGGCTTATATTATTTAATGTAAATTATACAAATTTTTTGAACAATGATCCATCAATTTATGTTGAATTTAATGTCAAGCGTTGTTTTATAATAGAGCATCAAGATTAAAAAAGGAAATTGATAACTTAAAAAAAGAACTTCAGTACGAAATTAAAAAAAATAAAGATTTATTTGAAAAATTTACTTCGACCACATCAGTTATTACTATGAAACAAATATTTATATAAACATAATCCAAACAAATCGTGTTATTGCAATTTACTTGTATAAAAACATTTATTTTAAAAATGATAGATCTTGCGACTTTTATACTGGCCTTACATCTGTCAATATTTTTCATCAGTTAGTGCAGTATCACCATTAATCAAAAGAAGATAAAGTGATATTAAAAAAGCATTATCTCAAACAGATTTAAGAAATTAAATTATATAGACTTACACTTAGTGCCGTGTCAAGTAGGTCTGGCCCCCCCCCCCTCAAAAAAAAACTTGTAATTTGGGTCCTAATTTTTTATTTATTTTTTCTAAAAAAGTGGATAATATTTACAGACTACCCCAAAAAGCATGGTACCTGAAATATTTTAACGTCGCCGTTCATAAGAATAAAAACAATCAAATTAACGCTTAAATTCAGTTAGATATATTTTAAATTGTTAAATTGATATAGAGTTTACTAGTAAAGAGTTTTTTTAAATACAGTTAATGTATTACGCAAATAATACAAATCCATCGCAAACTATTTAAAAAAAGGGTTTGCAACTATTTTCATGCTTGCAAACTCATTTATTATGCCTTCATAACTTAATTTCCTTGCAACCTCGATTTCAATCGACAGCGTTGCTAAAGAAGACAAACGTTTATCGACCATTGTTATATATAGCTACATGTATTTCTGTGTAATGAAGCAAAATTATTTATACTAACCTATGAAAAGTTTTAACTAGTTTTAACTTGTTAAAGCTACGTTCTACACTTGAAACAGTAACTGATAAAGTTAGAATGGTTCGTAATGCAACAACTAGATTGGGATAAGTTTCTTGCAGCTCTTTTTTGAGGCATTTTTTTCCACCTTGTTAACTATGGCAAATTGTTTTAACTCCATTTCTAAATCCTCAAAGTCTATATCACCAAGCTTCATTTGCAAACTTTTGCAATTTATAGACAAAGAACTTTCATTACAGGCCTTGATAAGACTTTCAGATTGGTAAAGAAAGTCATTAAGCTTTGTGACGATACTGATCTGTTTAAAACGCTTTTTTACTGATGCAATTGACATATCAATTAATGGGGGAAAAAAAAATCAATTAATGGGAGAAAAAAAAAATGCTTTATACTGATATTCAGGTTGCCGAAAGGTTGCATAAATTTTATATCGGAACTGTGAAAAGGTGTATTCATTTTTTTTTGTACAAATAAATAATTTTTTTTTTTTTTAATTTTGTTATGTAGGTGCCCCAAGAAAACCTAACGGTCTTGTCACAGAGCACCGCGAAAGTGCATTTAACCGGGAGGTTCACGCCTCCTTCCTTACCGTGACGCAAATATGTCCAAGGCTCGTTTCGAACCTGGATCTCCTGCTTATAAAGCAAGCGCTTTAACCACTTTGCCACGGCCGCACAATAAATTCAAAAAAAATTCAATATCGTTACAGTAACAGCAAAATTTCCATTCTAAGATATTCTTAAAAAACAAAAAGCGTATTTAGCCAACCAGCTTCGTACATATCAGAAACTTTTAATATTATCGACAAAAAATTGACGACAAAAAAAAGCTTTCCTGAGGTTTTAATGACTTTTTATTTAATTACCATAATTAAGCACATACAGTCTTTTTGCAATGTACTAAAATTATTAATTTGTTAGCATGTTTTAGAAAACGAATACGGTCTTTTTGCCTTATACCACGAGAGAATATATGTTAATGAAGTAAAATAAACATATTGCCATTAAACATAGGGTAATTCGGGGCAATACGAGACACTTAAAGATTAAAAATTATGTGAATAGACCTGGAATTAAGCAAAAAACTAAATAAGTGTACAGTAAATCTTACTTAGGGTAACTCTTTTCAAAACTTATGAGTAAATTTTTATATTCATTTTTAATTGTATACACAGAGGATTTTATAAATAGCAACAGCGTGTCTCATGTTTCCCACCTTACGGGGCAAAACGAGACAGCATATGTTATGCAACTAAAGAGAAAAAATAAGAGACTTGTCCAATTATTTTTTATCATAAAAGATGTTAAATATAAAATAACAAAAAATATAGTAGCTTTAGCTTAAAAAATTAACCTTCTTGGCAAATCTAACCACAGTTAGGTAAGCCTTAGAAAACATAGATTAAAGATAGAGATTAAATATTAAACATAGATAATATTAAATATTAAACATAGTTAAAACTTAAGCACCACCCGAACAAATTGTTGCACAAGTTATACTCAACTATAAGGCATAAATTAATGGATCATAGAATGTTTAAATATAATCATGGCACACACACAGTTTACACAAAAACTCTGTCCCTAACTTAACAAAATAAACTTCATGGTACCATAATTTACACCTAAAGCATTGGACACATTTCTGGCTAGACTCTGATATTTTTTGGTTTTCTCCATATTTAATTTTATCATCTTTTTTTAGTTTAATCTTTTTTTCTGATTTCTTTTTTTGTTATATTCAATTTTTTTTTTGTTTTCCAACCCCTCCTGCAAAGTTTTTTTATACGATGTGCTTGTCAAAATTTCGGACTTTTCTCCCTTTCTTTTTGTTGTCTTCACTTCAATAGCTGGAATTGATAATATATCAGTAAAAGAAAGCTGTTGAGAGTTTGAAATTGACAACAAGGCATTTATTTCATTAACTGAAAAACTAGCAATGGATGTTTGAACATTCGAATTTTGGTTTGGCCCAATTAAAGAATTAATTGTAGATGATTGTTCAGGATTTATATCTGCTATTTCATTAAATATTATGTTTGTATTACTATCTTTTAAACATGGATTTTCAAAATAATCTGACTCAGAAAAGATTTCTTGATTAAAAGGATTGATGCCTGTTACTCGAAATCCAGAAATAGCATTTTCCACTATAGCTGCTTTCACATAAGCTTGACAAAATAGTCCTGAATGTTTATCAACTGTAATTCTTCTTCCTGGGTGCTTTCTCATCCATGTCGTGCATACTCAGTTATAAGCACTTTTTAAAGATTTGAACAAAGTTCGATCAAGTGGTTGAAGCTTATGTGGTGGTAGTGATAAAATATGCAATGCATTTATGCTAGCATAATTGAGAAGATCAAAATTTTTGGTGTGTGATTTGTGGCCATCAAGAATTAACAAACACTTATTTGTAGTGCTACAATTTCTATGTATTACAAAGTGTCTTATAAAATCCATAAACAAATTTGTATCTACCCAACCATTTTTAGAACAGCGTCCAACTGTTCCTGGTGGTGCATCATCAATCAATGAATCTAGTATCCGTTTCTTTTTAAAAACAATCATAGGAGGTATGTAGTGTCCCACACAATTAAAAGCTAGTATAACAGTTGTTGTTTGGCCTCTCTCACCACTAGTTACTGAAGATACAACACGTTGGCCTGTAAAAATACAATTATAAAAACATAGACAATACAAAATAAAAATAAATACACATACAAATAATAATTTGGTGTTTCACTAAAACAAATAAAAAAATTTGCAACTTCTCACTTATTACCTTTATGAGCTATTACTTTTAAAGGCTTGTGAACACATGTTAATCCAGATTCATCACAGTTGTAGATGCGATTTGCTTCAAATTGGTTTTCGTTAATAAGTTTTTCCAGATTGTCAAAATATCTTTGAACAGCAGCCTTATTTAAACCAAAAACTCGATTTATGGATACTGCCTTAGGTTTTCGAATAGACAAAAAGAGTTGTTTTTTCAAAAATTCAACTATAAAATCTCGACCTGCAAGTTTCTTTTCAGTATTGAATGGATGGTTTATTTTATTGCGTACAACATAGTCATACACCACCCTTTGAAGTTCATTAATTGATAGACCATAAAAGACAAACTCCATTTTGATCATATACTGTGCTAAATCTTTTTCTTGAGCATCAGATAACACTTTTCTATAAGAACCAAGCAATTTTATGTATGGTTTATCATCAGGCATTGTTTTTATTGATTTATTAACTCTTTTGTTGAGAGAATCTTTTGGAAGCTTTACGTAATGTCATTTCTTTATTTTTGACAGCTTGGATAGCTAATTTCATATTGTTTTCATCCCAATTTCCACGATTTGTTTTTCGTTTGTAATTTCTAACCATCATAAAAACCATAAAATATTTACAAAACTTTTTTTAATTTTTCGGAGTATGTATCAGAGTATCTAAAAATTAAAACAACTAAATAATGGACCGTCTCATCTTTCCCACAAAGACCGTATGTTAAAAACATAAAATTCTTACCTTACAAATCAAATTAAGATTTCTTTTCTTTTTGGGGTATGAATAATAAAGAAATCTTTTTTTAAAAAATCAGCAGCACGACACTGGTACATCTAAATATTTATCAAGAATATGAATTGCATTGAATATGTCTTCACTAAGAAACGCGTTGAAAAAAATAATGGCTTTACTAAGTTTCAAAACTACCAGTTATTTTGTCATCAAACTAACTAAACATTCCAAAAAACAGGTGTATTAAGCTTAGCAAGTACAACCACAAACTATATACTTAATATTAATGAAGGACTATGATGATTACTATCTCCAGAAAGGATAAAAGAAAGTTGTCTTATCTTTCCCGTTGTCGCATATTGCCCCAAATTACCCAACTGCCAATAAACATATCGCCAATAAACAAAATATCAAAAAGTGTTAGTATTTGATATCAGCCAATCAGATCACAGATAAAAAAATAGCATCTTAACAAATCTGTTTCAGTTTCATACAAAATTACACAAGAAAATTGTCTGGAGTAGTACTTCTACTAGAAACATTATTGAAAACTAGAAACATTATTGAAAACTAGAAACATTATTGAAAACTAAAAACATTATTGAAAACTAGAAACATTGAAAACTAAAAACATTATTGAAAACTAGAAACATTATTGAAAACTAGAAACATTATTGAAAACTAAAAACATTATTGAAAACTAGAAACATTATTGAAAACTAGAAACATTATTGAAAACTAAAAACATTATTGAAAACTAGAAACATTATTGAAAACTAGAAACATTATTGAAAACTAGAAACATTATTGAAAACTAGAAACATTATTGAAAACTAGAAACATTATTGAAAACTAGAAACATTATTGAAAACTAGAAACATTATTGAAAACTAAAAACATTATTGAAAACTAGAAACATTATTGAAAACTAAAAACATTATTGAAAACTAGAAACATTATTGAAAACTAGAAACATTATTGAAAACTAAAAACATTATTGAAAACTAGAAACATTATTGAAAACTAGAAACATTATTGAAAACTAGAAACATTATTGAAAACTAGAAACATTATTAAAAACTAGAAACATTATTGAAAACTAGAAACATTATTGAAAACTAGAAACATTATTGAAAACTAGAAACATTATTGAAAACTAGAAACATTATTGAAAACTAGAAACATTATTGAAAACTAGAAACATTATTGAAAACTAGAAACATTATTGAAAACTAGAAACATTATTGAAAACTAAAAACATTATTGAAAACTAGAAACATTATTGAAAACTAGAAACATTATTGAAAACTAAAAACATTATTGAAAACTAGAAACATTATTGAAAACTAAAAACATTATTGAAAACTAGAAACATTATTGAAAACTAGAAACATTATTGAAAACTAGAAACATTATTGAAAACTAGAAACATTATTAAAAACTAGAAACATTATTGAAAACTAGAAACATTATTGAAAACTAGAAACATTATTGAAAACTAGAAACATTATTGAAAACTAGAAACATTGAAAACTAGAAACGTTATTGAAAACTAGAAACATTATTGAAAACTAGAAACATTATTGAAAACTAAAAACATTATTGAAAACTAAAAACATTATTGAAAACTAAAAACATTATTGAAAACTAAAAACATTATTGAAAACTAGAAACATTATTGAAAACTAGAAACATTATTGAAAACTAGAATAATAAATTAGACAAAAAAAAATAATTAACAAACAAAACCAGTTTTTGAAGTTATAAATATTTTTACGAGTTAAACTAATATAACATCTTATATCTTGCGTAAAAAATTTTAATATTAATTTCAATGTCTCTCAATTTTTCATGATCTTTATGAAATTAAATTTAACATTACTTTGCACACGACTCTTCAATTAAACCTTTATACAAAACTAGAACAAATGAACAAAACAAAAAACAGGAAAATTTATATTTCGTGCTCCTGATAGTTGGCATAAAATTTTAGCGTAAAATATTTCTAAAATATGTAAAAAAATATAAATGCATTCAAAAACTAATCTAATTAAAGAACTCTTAAAAAATTTTTTTTTTGAAACTTAATTACAACTTAGACAATTTTTTTGGTCTTAAAATTTATTTTATGATTAATTTTTTGTTCATTTTAATTTTTGTTTTAATACTATCATTGAAAATAATCGACTTTAAAATGCTCGGAAAAGGTTTCAGTGCTGTTGACATTGAACTTGATAATTTGTATTATTTAATAAGACTTATATAAATAAAAATAGCAAACAATAGTAATAATAATAGTAAAAATAAAAATAGCAAACAATAGTAATAATAATAATTATATAAATAAAAATAGCAAACAATAGTATATTTAGGTTAAAGATTTTTTATTTACCACATAAAAAAATAACCGATAGTTATTAAAATATTTTTTAATTAACACTAATAACTCTAATAATAGTTATCAGTTTTAATTTTTAAGTATTTTTTTATAAAAAGTTTTGAGTCTGTTTCGTTAGCTTGTAACATCTTATTAACAGCTATGGCTTCTTGTTCTGCATAATGTTGAAGCAGTTCTTCATAATTATTTTTAGTTGAATGTGGAAGAATTTTGCTTTGCTTTGGACAACCCATGTGTTCAAACTTAGCAATTTGTGGCGGAAGAATCGGGTTTTTTGGATTTTCTAGATGTTTCTTTAAAAACTCGTTTCTTTTGTTTAAACTGTCACAAACATGACAAGAAAACCCCGTGAACATCTGTTCCTCAGGAAGCGACCATTTTTGAAGTTTTAAAGACTCATGAAGTTTTGGGTTAGAAAACTTGCCGGTGTACCGATGTTTTAAATACTCGTTGTATTTTTCATCATTTGCATCAAGTTGTTTTAGATATTCCGCTAGTTCTTTTGGCGAACTAAAGTCTTGTACCATGATTACGGCTTTTTCACTGGGCATGAATTCTTCAGCTAGAGAAGACCCTAAATACACTGGAACTGATCCAATGAGTAAAGGTCGAAAAAGTTTTTCTGTCATGTAATCTTGACATAAATAGTTTTCAAAAGCTAACTGAAACTTATAACGAGCCAAAAAGTGATAAAATGTTTCACTTGAAAGATGATGAAACCCGTCGACTTCTTTTGGTGGTTTTTTGTTGTTTAAACAAGGACCATATGAGTCAACTGCTATATATTTCATAAGTTCTTTTACATATGTATCTCGATCAGAAGGAGGATCACAATCACTTTGAAAATAAACAACAGCTGCTAGATTTAACTCCTTTTGTAGACTAAAATAAAAAAAGTTGTCAATTATTTCATTATATGTGAGACTTCAGACGATACAAAATATTTCTACGTCAAAATAATAAAGAGGAATATTCAATCAAATAACTCCCTGTCAGAAAATTTATTTACAAACCGTAGTTATTTTTTTGGTTTAAACCATACTATAGTTACGTTATGTATCCAGCAAACACTCTATAGCGAAATTTCAATGGACCTAAATAGAAATTTTGAGCGGACGGCTGTACAGTTGATTAGGAAAACTACATAGTTTTACATGAGCAAAACTACATAGTCATTGAACGACTGTACAGTCAATGAGCAAAACTAAATAGTTTTGCTCATCGATTACTTAGTGGACCATTAGTGGCAGCCGCCAAAAATGGCTAGCCGATGACTAGCCACTACTAACATGTCGGAAAGTTATTGGCTTGCCATTTATAGCATCTGCCACTAATTGTCCACTAAGTAACCGATGAGCAAAACTCCAATGAACCACTAGAAAATGCCTATTTAGGTCCACTGCAAATCCACTAAAATAATGTTTGCTGGGTACCAAAATAAATTTAACCCTTTGGCTGCTTGTTAAAACTAAAAGATGTTTAGAAAAAATCAACTAAAAAAAACGAAAATGGAAAAAAAACAATTTTGAGATCTTGATGCCATTTTTATTTTATAACATCAACAAAATTTAAAAACAAAAAATTTAAGCCCTCATTGTATAAATAATGAATGATATTTAGAAAAGCAATAATTTTTTCCAATAAAGGCATAGCTTTAAAGATCAGTTTTAAAAGCCGCACTTCTATGGAAAAGCCACGATCGTGGCTTGCCACAGTCAAAGGGGTAATATTTGTCGTCAGTGTGGCCAACAATATTGTTTCTAGTAATAAAAATAAAATAAAAATAAGGATTTTGTGATTTCAATCATTATAATATGTATTCATATTTTAATGGTTGAAAAATGATTATAGTATTTGATTCATTATGAAAAATGATTATAGTTTAATAGCCTTACATTTATTTAAACAAAATTAGCTTTTGAATATCACAATAAAAGTTTTTAATCATATTTGAGGCATAATCTTCAAATAAGATATCATGGCATGCAAAGTATGAATATTCAATAATTTGCGATTATTCTCCAATATTATGCCGGTGTTAGACATTTGCTGAACAATATTGGGCCATGATTAGCTGTTTGAAACTATTATTGGCCCATTATTGGAGCCATGATTTACCCAATAATTTGCAGATATTTGCCCAATAAAGATCCAATTTGCGCTCCCAAACATTTGCCTAATGTTTGCAGCCATTATTGGCCCAATTTGGTAGCCATTAATTTCCCAATAACAGCCCAAGGAATTTGTTCTATTTGGGTTAGTCCTTATCAACAACTACAGAAGAAACGAGAACGCTGAAAAAATATATATATATTTAACTAAAATCATGTTTTTATTATTTATAAGTAATGTATAAGACTTTAATTAGACTTTCAAGTAGAGCAGTAGGTGCTTACTCGGTGTTCGGTAAACTCTCTGTGACTTCTGTTAAAAACGTTATAAGTGATGTCATAGTAACAAATTTATTTAATTAAAAAAAAAATGACATCTCTACTAAAATATTCATGATGGTGACTTTTCTATTATCAGATTACAATTAAAGAAAGTTGATCATCTATTCTATAATAATAAGTGCTCATATATGGTAGTAAAAAATTTGTTTTGAGTTTGAGTGAAGAAAAAATAGGGGAGAGAGGAGGACCCTGTTCATCACACCACCCAAAACACCCACCCTGAAGTATAAGAAAATTATAAATCTAATACAAATTTAATTGAATTTTTTGTTAATTGAACTGTATTGTAAACAATTAAAAAATAATTAAAAATTAAATACCTATGACTTGAAAAAATCTCAGGAAAAAAAACACAAATTTAAACTACTATTTATTATTAACTATTATTTATTAATTATTTATTTTAACTATTATTTTCTACTATTTTCTGCTTAGTGACATCCAAATTTATAACAAATTTCGAAACATATAATAAAAAATTTTATTTTAAATCATATTTTGTCTTTTTAAATATTAAAACCAAAATAGTAACATATTTGGAATGATATGTAACCATATATCACACCAAACATGGCTAAATAATAAAAATATAATTTTTTTATAAATTCCTTGAAATCACTCTTAAATTGGAATATACTGTTTACAACTGTGCTTAATAAAACGTTTCACGAAATGATAAATTAAAATCTGAATAATATAAATTTTACTGTTAACCGATTTTTTTCTTTGGTTGTAACAAAATATCTTTTATCCATCCATTCTCCAACAATTTGCATGTTTTGCGTGGTTAAAGGATAGTCTGATTCACGTCTAAATGTTGCTGTATGGTTGAATATGCTAAATAAATCAAATCAGTCTTATAAAACATTAATTTATACAATATAACCATATTCTGTCTTACAAATTGTTCCTATAAATTCTTACTTTACAATTTGCATTTTAATAAAAGGTACACAATATATATATAAATAAACTTGGCAAACATGTAAGGAAAGAAATTAATAATAAAAACGCATTGAATTTACATGCTTTATTCAAAAATATTCGTTAGATAATTGAAAAAGAATTGAAAAAAAAAACATTGTAATAAGATCTTAAAAATTGAGAGTTTATATAGAAATATGAAAAACTAAATACATTGTTTAAAAATTGAAAATGAATAACAAAATTTTACTTTTTTTAATTAATAATTTTAAACTATTTCTCTGTTTTAAAAAGGAATTTTAAAATACATAGTACATTCAATGTTTCAATTGATAACCTTTTCTTTTCTTTGTAACAAAATCACTGCCAGTGGAAAAATTGTGTTTATTTTGTGTTGATGTAGGTTTTATTGTTGAAACAATAAAACCTACATCAACACAAATGTAGGTTTTATTGCATCCCTAAGAAGTTCTACTTTTTTTGTTCTGTAACCAGTTGTTTAAAAGATATTGGATGTCTTAATGTTTTACTTGCGGCTTGGTAATACTATCCAAAGTATTAATTTTTATAACAGTATCTTCAACTGAAAAATTTAATTGTTCTTGAAGAGATAACTGTACTTTATCACTACATTCTAATTTGGCTTCAGCATTAACAAAATCATTGTCGTTCTCACTACTCTGTTCACACTACGAAATGGTTCCAAGCAATTGGAGTACAATCTATTTATTATGGCTTCCGTAGTTTTATAAATTTCATTCTTTGATGCAGATTTAAAAAAAGAAGAAGCGAAGGCATCTTTTTCATCAGAACTTTGATTTTGTAAAAATTTATACAGAGATAAATATTGTTATTTCTTCTGATATTGATTCCTTCTTTTATTTTCTATAAAAATTCTTGATTTATTTTAGAATCAATTTCCTTTCCAATTTATTTTAGAATCAATTTCAATATTCCTAAATAAAAGTTTTAAAGACCCTTCTGCAGTTAGTAGTGTGAAATCTTCTTGGCTTAAACTCTTAACAGTTAAACTAAGAGGCTCTAAAACAATTAATAATGTTTCTGTAATATTGACATAATGATCTTTCCATAGATTTAAGTTTAGTTCTGATAAAGCCTTTTTAACAGCATCTTTTATTCTTAAAAATCGTATATACAATATGAATTTTTACAATAAATGAACATTTTTATAAGTGATCCATTCATCATTAGACACACTGATTTTTTTCTGTTCCTTTTTTAAATTTTTAATATTCTTTACTAGCTCCTCTTTCTTAATATTATAAAAGTTCATCATTAATTGTTGCACCTCACAGGGATTATATGGTTTAAGTTATTTATCTTTTATTGATTTTAAGAAGAACTGCAGTGCAGAAATCAATTTTAAAAAAATTATTGATACTTAATAATAATTATCAAATCTAATAAAAAATTTACACTAAATTACCTTACCCTTTGCAGATACCTATATGCATTGCACTATGGAGTTTTTATTTAACAAGTAATATTTGAGTGTTTAGAATTCGTTTTTTTTTTTTTTTTTTACACTAGATATTATTTAAGCCAAGTTAAACTCCCTTGACATTTACTTATAATTACAAAATCACAATTAGTTACTTTACAGTTATAGTAGTAAGAGGGTAAACATAACTTACCAACGTGACAAAACACTAACACACTTCTCCACTTGTCAACAAACACTCATTACATTAATTCACCATATATTAGTAACATAAGTACTTAAAATATAATAAAATATTTTAAGTACATATTAAATAAAAAAATATTATTACCTTAATATTCAAATTTGTTTGAGTTTGGTGAATTTAAAAGATATTTATACCAGTTGTGGACAGGTAAGGCGTGCAATCACACTATATTCCTTGTTTATTTATTTTTTGTGACCGTGTAACCACAGCTTTTAAGATTTTTGAAAACCTTAAAAGCAAGAAAGCAAGAAACTGCTTTTAAAGATTGTATTCTTTAAAAGACATTTTAAAAAAGATATTATATTGTTAAAAAGTGAATTTTTTACGATGAATGTAAATGTTTTTAAAACAATTAGTGCAATTAATTTTATAAACAACAACAAAAACTTATATTATAAAAGTCCATCATTAATTGTTGCACCTCACAGGGATTATATGGTTTAAGTTATTTAATCTTTTATTGATTTAAGGAAGAACTGCAGTGCGGAAATCAATTTTAAAAAAATTATTGATACCTAATAACAGTTATCATATCTAACAACATTTATACCTTACAAAATTTAAAAAATTGTTTTGCTATTGTAATTATTGTTAAAACTATAAACTTTTTGACGAATATACTTAATAATCAAAAACATAACAAAATTATTTTTTTTGTTATGCTATGTAAACTTTTTAATAAAATTTGTTTACACTAAGCTAAATCTTTTAAATAAATTTTTAAAGCGCTATAAAATAAATTATCATAGAGTATTAAATAAAACTTTTTTTTAATGATGAATATAATTTTTTTAAACAATTTGTATCCTTAAAGAACGACGACAACAAATGCATTTCAATAAACTTTAAAAAAAAATACTTTTTTAAATAAAGTTAGTTTTTTATTAAATAAAATTAAATATAAGTTTTTTTTCAGCACAAAACATAATTAAAAATAATTTTCTATTAGAGATTTAGTTTTTCAGATTTATATTAGTTAACTTTTTTTAATTTTTTTTTAAATTTCTCCATCATTAAGATTTCATTTTTTTAAAATTATTTTAGCCTGTTTAATTTTTTTTTCTTATCGGTTTTATTCAGCGTGTTTTTATTTTCTAAAGAGCCATGGTCAAGCTTTCAAAAAAAAACAATTACATGCAAGGTCAAGATTGAAGTGCAATTACATGCCTTTCCTATCCACAACTGATTTATACACACACCAACACCACAGACAACGTGGGACAATTTAAATTAAAGAGACTGCAGTTTGAACTTGATGTTAGCCTGCCAACAAAAGATTTTTAATTTTCTTGAGAAATATCAAATAATTTCTTGAGAAATTATTTGATTTTTTTATATTGATATAATTATTTGAAATATTATTAAATAAAATAAATACTAAAAGTAATATTTTTCTGACCTGGTTATTTTGTATCAACTGACCAGGTTATTTCTGATCAGGTTATTTTGTATATTCTAAAACCTTTTACATATAAACTTTTACCCAGAAATATAAAAATACGTGATTGCTTTAATTAATATACTTTCAAGATGGCTTTGGTCCATTACGGTTCACAATTCGCAATCACTTAATTGTGCTCCTTGCAATCTAACTATTTATGTCTTGGTGCTAATAGTAAACGAAATAATTTTTTTATTATATGGTACTTAATTGATTAATTTATCTTTTAAAGTAACTTATTAGTATATTTGAGAATTAAACTTCAGGATACTTTTAGAACTTGCTAAGCTGTGAAAGTATAAATGAAAGGTAAAGAAAAAAATGCATTATGTAACGCAGAGAATTTATTTTATAACCATATATATATATATATATATATATATATATATATATATATATATATATATATATATATATATATATATATATATATATATACACTTACTAAAGCGTGTTTTGATAAGCATTTGCTCACTTTTTGTGCTTACTTCAAGGTAAACCGTTTTTTTCGAAAAAGAAGAAGAAAAAAACGAAGAATGATAAATAAAACGATTGCTTCCCCATCCCAAACCTTCAGTCGATGTAGCAGCACTTCACTGCGAGTCAGGCTATTTGTCAGTCGTTGTATGTACTGAAGCCCCCAGCAGCCGGCTATTTCAGTATGACGTCAGATTGCTTACCAAAGTACGCAATACTATTTGTATATATATATATATATATATATATATATATATATATATATATATATATATATATATATATATATATATATTTATATATAATGAATGATAACTAAAAATCTGGAACAAAATTTTATTTACAATAAAAGAATAAACAAATATACTTGCAATTGCCCCTATTTAGTTACAAATTTAACTCTTTATATGTATTGTTAATATTTTTTAATTTTATTTGGTTTTAATTAAAAATGAAAAAAAAAAGTCTTGTAACAGAGATTTGCTCAGAAAATGAGTGCATGCATTTTTGGATTTGCATCCAGATGAAAAAAAAAGCTTTATTATAAATCATTTTTTAATAGAAAACATACCAAATCTAATATAAATATCATACTAAAAGAATGGAGAACAATATAGGACCAAAAAGAAAAATTGGTAGTGGTTTTAATGCAAAAAAAAAGTTTTAAAATCAAATGAAGTGTCAAAAAAATTATTGATCAAAAAGATGATATTTCACAGCGTAGTCTTGAAAAACTAATTAATGTATCACAATCATATAAATCCAAATTATCAATAAAAAAACTTGTAACTGTTGTCATAAAAAAACTAAAACACCTAAAAGAACATCCGCTGTATGTTTGAAACATAGATTCTTTTTCATTTTTGAGAAAAATATAGTTGTTATTGACGATGAACCACACCTTTATTTGGGAAACACCAATATTTCTGAAAATACTGGATTCTACTTTTTTGACATACATGCAGCATCAAATGATTGAAGGTTGAAAAGAAAAAACAAATTGGAGGCAAAATTACTTGTTTGGATTGCATTCTCAACAAAAGAAATTTCCCAGCATTACATTGCTCTATTAGGCCAAGTAGTCAATGAATATGTGTATATTTCAAAATTTCTTGTCAAATTAAAAAAATTCATTGGAAAATATAATAAAAATGAAAGTTAAATTTTATGGCCTGATCTTGCTTTATCATATTATTCATTTCAAGTACAAGTCAATAATCAAAAAAATATTGAATTTGTACCAAAATTTCATATTCATGGTAATGTGCCAGAATTAAGACCAATTAAAAATTTTTGGTCTGAATAAAAGATGTACAATAAAAATTGAAAAGCTGAAAATCTAGAGAAACTTCAAAAACAGATTGAGTTAACAATCAAAAAAAGTTGACATAATAACGTGTACATCAACTGACATCAGCTAAGTTAACATTAATGAATTTTCTAAACCCTTGGATCAGGAGTGGTGTTCTTAAATCTTTAAAAAAAAAAATGTTTTTAAACAAGTTTCTTTAAAAAACTTTTTAAAAATGAAACTAATTATAAAAGTTATAAACAGCTATTTGAATCAATTTTTAAGCGCTCAAAAAAATATTATTATTCTGGACCATAAAGCCTTAGCCGCTGAAAAAACTTAATCAGTTTTTTAAAAATATAGTTATTAACATTAAATAACATCAGCTAGCTGATGTAGAATTCAACATTTACAAGAGTAGACAGTGTTTGTCGCCATGACAAACTTATAATTTAATTTAAAATTTTTTTTTTTTTTTTGTTATTATACTTTTTAAATTAATAAAATTGATCATCCCATTTAGAGTTATACAATTTTTAATTTAGTTCAGATTTTTATTTAGCACATAATTGCAAAATGTTGAGATAAGGGACCAGAGAGAAGAGAAGTGGTTTTTCTGGCTAGTTTTTATAGTAAATTTTTCTAGCAAGTTTTTCTAGCAAGTTTTTCTAGTAAGTTTTTCTAGCAAGATTTTCTAGTAATTTTTCTAGCAAGTTTTTCTAGCAAGTTTTTGTAGTAATTTTTCTTATCTTTTTATATTTTTTTTATACTGTAAAATCGCCTAAATTCGGTTACTTAAGCTTTGAAGACTCATATCTTTGTCATCAATAAACGTTTTTAAATTTATTTTTCTGAATTATACAGATAATTATATCATTAATTTATATTGTAAAAATAAAACAATAAAAATTAAATTAGCACTCGATACTTTGTTTCAAATGAGAAACAAAGTATCGAGCTATTCAGCAAGTTTGAATACCATATCAAGAACTTAACATCCAAATAACACATTGCAATAACATATCACAATATCACAAATTTAACACTAAAATTATGAAAACTAGTTTTCTAATTTATGTTATAATAATATTATAAAACAAAATCGCTTAACTAAATTAAGAAAATTACTTTTTAATTCACAGCTTTGATAAAAACAAATTAATTTGTATTTTAGCCTTATTGTTAAATTTTATCTTTAAGGCTAAAATTTTTCTAAATTTTAGAGTAGACTACTTTGAATTTTACAATTTTGCAGACTAATAATATAATAATATTCAGACTAACTATAATAACAAAAATAATATGCAGACTAATTACAGCGCTGTGCCTATTTTTAACATACTTTTGCTGTTAATTGAGATTTTAACTATTGTAAAAAAAAACAAATGTTTTTGTATTTGAATCATCAAAAAGTAACTTTTTGTTGATTATCTGATCCATGTATATTGTTTATAGCTTTACCAGATTGTTCAATATCCTCCCACTTCAGTACATGATTAAGTCCAATCCATGTGAATATCTCATTCCCACAGTTCAATATAAAAGATACATTGTTTACAAAAAAGAAATTTACCTCATAAATGTATTAACATCTTAGGCACTACATTTTCTCAACAACTGTTTTGTTCTTTAGGAGACAAAATTACCATTCATCCTTTCCTCAAGATTAAATTTTAACTTTTTTAGTTCCAAAAAATTTTTTGTTGCAATCGCTTGGCTTTTTTCCATTGATAATACAGTTTTGTTAAAATTATATATCTGTCCGTGCGCAAACCAGAAATAAAAATCACCTGTTTCACTTTCAAAAAATGCTTGCAAAGCACACAGACAGTTAGAAAACATATAGAAAATTCTTTCAACTGCCAGCAACAGAGAAAAAAATCTAGTACTTCTATGCTGGATTATTTTCCTATACTCCACATCTACAAATTCACAAAATTCCTTCAATTCAGTTACCCAAACTGTGTAGATATAAAATATATTACTTATATTCTCACAACAGCTTTAATTTTAATTTACAGACCATCAACAGCAGATTGAAGTGTATTGTGCACCACAACCAATGCCAACAAAATTAACAAAATTTTTACCTCTTTTACGTACTCCACCAAAATTTATGTTGAAATTGAAGAGCTTAGTGCTAAATTTAGTTAAGCCACAAAATAAATGTTTAGAGAAAATCTACTTTGATCAGAGATATAACAGTTGAAAATAAGGATTTAAAATGGCTGATCAAAGTAGATTTTCTCAAAACATTTATTTTGTGACTTGAGTACTTTTAGCACTAAGCTCTTTAATTATTAGAACAGTTATTTTTTATCAATATTAAAACTTGAATATAAATGTTGAAATCAGCTTATCGGTCAATATTTTAGATGTTTCATCATCAACAGATTCAAAATCCAGCAGTTTTACATTGACACCTTCCAATGGTAAAAAATATCTAACAACAACTGTTGATAGTTTTACTTTTTTTATTTATTTGATTTGTCATTAGAAACACTTACTAAATATGTCTTCAGTAAGTCAACTTGTAACTCTTTTACTAATAAAGGTGCCATAACATTTAAAATTATTGCTTGACATTTGGTTCTTGCAGCATCAAATATTAGTTCAAAACGTTTTGAGATTAGTTTCAAACTACAGGCAGATGTTTTGAAGCTCAAATCATGCATTACTGTGTGAAAGGTAAATGTGACCTCCTTTGCTGAAATAATTAAATCATTTTCATTGGATTCACTGTTTTAAAAAAACCCTTTAGTATATGAACAACATACAGCAGCCGAGACTCCAGAATTGTGTTTGGCACCTTTGTCTGCTCATCCATGTCTGCACAAATGTCTGCTTTTTCACAAATGGGCAATCTTTTTGTAGTTCATTAGTAAATTAGCAACTTCCTTTTGATATTTTAAACAAAAACAAACACACAGCTTCTTATACACATACACTAATAAAGTCAACAGGTAGCATTCTTTAGGATGATTCAAAACAAGATTTTTAATTCTTGATAAAACGCAGACCAAGAAAGTTATTGTTAGTATTTGTACACAAAGAATATGACTTTCTGAGTCTACAATTTTTTTGTTTTATTTTATTTTGAAATATGTATTATTAAATAAAAAAATGCTTAAATTTAGACTTCAAACTGTTGATTCGAAACGTGATTCGAAATTCTGCAAGACCTGCTTTGATTCGAAATTCGATTTGAAACAAAAACTGCCGATTCACAGGGCCCTAATACATACATACATATATATATATATATATATATATATATATATATATATATATATATATATATATATATATATATATATATATATATATATATATGGTCATAATAGCACAAAGTCTAATAAAAATAACAGTTTAAACATGTTTCAATTATACAATAATCATTTTTAACAGTATAAAACTGTTAAATACAAAAATTATTTTATATATAGTGAAAACAAACATTAACTTTATTTTTTAGTCAATCAAAAGAAAACATGGAAGGTGTGAAACCCTATGTCATTACCCTACTTCAAAAAAGAATAATTGAAAATGTAGATAATTAGTGTAATACCTATATCATAAAGTAATAGAAAATGTTGGTAAAAGCTGCAGTGATTGCGTGTAATTAAAAACCTGTTTATTAGGATTTTTTCAGATTTTTCCCACATGTGTAACGCTTCTTTGATTTTTAACTGATGCAAATTTGGGTGTAATCTAATACTGAAAAAGAGTCCATTAGTCTAATTTGGACGTAGTCTAATACTGAAAAAGACTACATTAAAGCAACTAGTTTTTGAATAAATATTTATTTCATCCTTTAAAATTAATAAATATTTTTCAACAAAAGAAAAAGCTCCTCATTATCTCTACTCAAATGTCATATATAAATTTGTGTGTAAAAGCCGTAATGCTTGTTATGTACATATTTGTACATGTATACATTGTTTTATTAAACTTATTTTTTATATAATTAAATATATAAATCAAATATAAATAATATTTGATTTATATATTTGTTCAATTTATTGTCTAGTACTCTATGTATCTAATGGCAATTTTTATATCTAAATGATTTTTAAAATTAGATACATCTATTTTAATTTTCCTAGTATACCTTTTATACTGTATATTTATGTTTACATATTTATTTACTTTTATGTTTGATTAAATTTTTATTCTTCATATGTAATTATTTAAGACAGTTTTATTTTACACTTGTTAAAGCCCATCTTATAAAAAGATTGTAGTGAATCTAGTTATCTGTAGTTTTTTTGAGCTTCTTGTTTATTTATACAATTCTCTGTAAATAATATTTTGTAATTGAATAAAAAATTGTTTTGAAATAAAACTATACCTGATGCCCAACTTAGTTGAAAACATTCGTTTGTTTTTTGGAGATTCTTCATGGATTAATGCCCACTCATGATGTGGTAACCTTGGTAAAGGTAAATCTCTACCATCAAATAATGTACCATAAAATATAATTCCTCTAGTTAATCTGTTTGTGAGTTGTTTACGATCTTTAGTAATTAAGCAACTACCTAAATAATATTTACTTGTTATTTAAAAATAATAATATTTTTTTATTTAAAAATAATAATATTTTTTTATTTAAAAATAATAATATTTTATAGCAGCAATAACAATATTATATAGCAGCTTGAGTAAAAGGTATCAGGGAAAATTATAATCAAGAATATATAAAAAAAACCTATATATATATTTTGATTGTTTTAGTAAATTAATGTAATATAATTGATTGATATTAATATAGTGTAATATACTATAACATTTAATGCTAAAATATTAAAAAAAAAAAAAAAATTAAGCATATATATTATTATAAATGTATAAAAATATCATTTTTGAGATTTTTTGGGCTTTATTAAATAGATACAAGATATATAATTGAAGTTGTATTATATAATTGAATGGATATATATTTGAATGGATATATAATTGAAGTTGTATTAGATAGATACTAATAAGAATATATTCACAAGGTGGATATATTTATATAAGTATCAAGGAAATCTTAGTGATTGAATTATAATTGGTTAACTCACTTTCTCCTTTTTCGAACATAAACAATTTGTGTTAGTATTCAATTTATGATTTTTTTTTTGTTTTTCAAATTTTTTTCTCTTGAAACTAAATATAGTATCTAAAGCTAAATCCGAGATTCCTACCTATAGATGTTTAACTTTAGCGACTACCATACAGGCTTTTACTTAAAAAGAAAATTCAAGTTTTTAGCCCTAACAACAAGTTTTTGACCCTAAAATTAGAGCTAAAATGTTTTATGAAAAATCTGCTTCATATCTTTTTTGACCATTATCATGATTTAAAGTCAAGTTTAGAATGTTTTAAAAAATTCCTAGCGATTTCTTGTAGGTAGGAGGTAAGACATTTACTAAAACTTATTTTAATATTTCTTTTTTTTCTAAAATAACAAAAATTTGGTAAAACAATTTATATACAACAAAAGAAAAATAAATTTAAAAAATTTAAAAAGTATTTCAAAAATATTATATTCTATAAATCAAAACAAGCATAAGAAAATATTGGTATATACTTTATTTAGAAAATTGTTTAGAAAAATAGACTAGAAATATAAAAAAATTTAATTTTTTGGCTTAAAATGCAAATTTATGATGTTGTGCACGCTTACAATTTATTTTGTGGGGAGTATAATTCTTCCTGCATTTAGGTACCAAAATTGGTACAGAGTACTGAGTATTTTGATAGGTATTGGTACCAAATACTGAAATTTCAGTACCGTGACAACACTACTAGGTGTGAATCATCTGAAAAGATGAAAAAATGTTTCATGGCAATATCATTACCACTACCACTGTAGTGGTACAGGGAGAGAAATTTTAGAAGAAATATTTATATTGAAATATTATCCACTTTTTTAAAGAGAGAACTATCCAAAAAATGAGATACTTGTTAAAAGAGAAAATTTTATAAAGGTCTTAACCCTTTGGCTGCTTGATAAAATTAAAAGGCCAAAAAATAAAAAAACGATAATGGAAAAAAAAAAACAATTTTGAGACAAAAAATCAAGCTAAAGTTATATAATTTTGAGCAATTAGTTTAGGTAGAAACCTTTGTTTATATATATATATATATATATATATATATATATATATATATATATATATATATATATATATATATATATATATATATATATATAAAGTATAGTTTATATATTATAGCTCTTTTTGAAGTGTTCAACATAAGGACTATTAGTTTGATGCTTCAATAATTGTCAGCCATCATATGTACGTCCCATCTACCCTGATAACATTCTTTCATAAGCTTCAAATTTTGGTGAAATTGTTCATGTTGCTTCTCACTAACAGCTGGGTCAGTTCATTATACTTCAACTAATTTAAATAAAACTTTGTGGGAAAACCATGTCTGATTTATTTATACTAGCAGTAAGCAACCCGTAATACGCGTTGTTAGTAAATAAAATTAAAAAAAAAACCGCGTATAGAAAAGCCTAGAAACTACTTTAAAATAGAAAAGCCTAGAAAATGACGTAATTCGACTAATAATATTAAATTAGCATATTAATATTATCAGATAATGTTGATCCTTATAACATATAATGACCCTTATAACATTTTCTCACTTTTAACAAGTGTCTACTTTTTCTGTCCATCTACATGTCTTTACAGGTAAGTTTTCTAATTACCTACTACTGTTTGCAATAAATGAACAAAATATAATCAGCTTGTTGCAGTTTAGAACTCAAATATATCTAAAAGTATATTGTCAATTAGCCTATAAAGTTCAATATTCAGCCATTTTGAGATGCTTTTAAAAATTTCTTTGAGATGCTTGTAAATTTTATTTTGATCTAAGATTAACAACATACGAGATTATTAGACCCAACTATCTGAAAATATAAACATTATTAACTTGATAAATTTACACCAAAAATGCAAGCATTTTGTTAAAAAAATGACTTTAAATTGGTTGCACCCCTCACATAAGCCAGTAGGCAGGTTAGAGGGTCACTAGTTTTTAAACAACACATTCAACCATTATCAATTGAAACCCTATTTTTCAATTATTAATGGTTGAATGTGTTATTTGAAAACTAGTGATCCTTTAACCTGCCTACTGGCCCATGTGAGGGGTACAACCAATTAAAAGTCATTTTTTAACAACAAAAAAAAAAAGATATGAGTAGTTGGCCCTTCCATGGTCTGATTTTTATAGTCGATAGAACACAAATAAAGGGGCAGTAACTATTTAAAGACCTTTATTGTTGTTTAAATCTGATACTTAAAGTATCAGATAACTTACACAATTAAAGTATCACATAACTTACACAATTAAAGAGTACTTAAAGTCAAAAACGATTAATATCTTCCACAATAATGCTGAACAATTTTTTAAAAGACTTTCATAATATATAAAAGAACATATTAAAGTATTCTATAATAAAAATAGAGAAGAAAATAGTCAAAACATGTTACAAGCAGCTTTTATTGTTAGGTTTGGTTTTTTACTTTCTAATTGATAGTTAATTAATATTAAAAATAATTTATGTTTCATTCAATTTATGATCATTTATTAAATCTTTTTTTTAATAAAATAGAAGTAGAACCCTCTTGTGTTTTTGAGGTCAGGCTCATGTATTGTGGCAATAATGTCACTCACTAGACACCAATTGATACCTGGTGTTATTGGATAATTGAAATAATCGTCAGCATTTTGTAAACAGCTGACCCACAGAATCACATAAGAATTGTTTTCTTACCAGAAAAAACTCATTAAAATAATACACAATCAGATATTTAATGAATAATGATGTCAATATTTATTGACTTTTGTTTAAGCAAAATATCTTCCAGCATGTGAAAAATGTCAAATTTACTAGTCATTGAAGTTACATAAACTTTTAAACAACATAATTGAGGTGAGAAATAATACGTGCCAGTTTTTTTATTAGAAGAAACATTCTCAAATCATTTAGCGAGTACTTCATGTGTATTTGCAGCTGTTTCAGATTCAGATATATTGAGAAATATTCAGATATATTGAGAAATCTAAAAATAAATTTAGATCAGATAAATCTGAAGAACTTTAAAAATTTAGCTCTTGTTTTAATGAATCATTTTCTATACAATTTTCTTTAAAAAAGTTTGTTTTATTAGAATTGACTTTTTATAACAAAAAAATGTCAGAGCATGAGAAAAACAGTGAACACCTCACAAATGTGTAAAAGCAGTGAACACCTAGCAAATGTGTAAAAGCAGTGAACACCTAGCGAATGTGTAAAAGCAGTGAACACCTAGCGAATGTGTAAAAGCAGTGAACACCTAGCGAATGTGTAAAAGCAGTGAACACCTAGCGAATGTGTAAAAGCAGTGAACACCTAGCGAATGTGTAAAAGCAGTGAACACCTAGCGAATGTGTAAAAGCAGTGAACACCTAGCGAATGTGTAAAAGCAGTGAACACCTAGCGAATTTTAAGTCATAAAAAGAGCTGCTATTGTGAAGCAATAAAGCAATTGATGCCGAACATTTGCGTTTTGTTAAAAAAGAAGAACAGTATTGGCAGCAAATCTTGAAACAGCTTTTGTTAAAGTTCTTGGTATGCAAAATCTTGCTTTTTGTGAAACTGAACACTGCTGATAACAGAAACTTTCTGAAATTTGTGGAATTTTTAGCTTTTTTTGACCCACTTATGGATGAGCATCTTCGAATAAAGACAATGAAACACATGTACATTATCGATTAAAAACAATGAAACACATGTACATTACCTAGGCAAAGATATACAAAATGAATTGATTCATTTTTTATCCAATCCAATCAAACAAAAAATTGTAACATCTGCTTGTGATGCTAAGTACTTTTCAATAATTAGAATAAATAGATTGCACACTTAATAATACTAATGATGAACAAATGACTATGATCATTCGCTTTGTGGATGTGATTTCAAATTCAGAAAATGGCATTGCAGCAACAGCATCTACAGAGAACATTTCTTACATTTTGTGCCTTTAAAGGAGACAACTGGTACTGGTATGGCGGAAACAATCATTAGGCAGTTAGGCGAGATGCCTTTATTTATTGAAAACTTACGCTCTTAAGGATATGACAATGGCAGAAATATGAGAGGGAAAAATAAGAGTGTCCAATGAAGAATTTTAGATCCCCGAGCATTGTTTATTCATTGCTATTCATATACATTGAAATTGGCTGTTAATGAAACAGTTAAACAGTCTTCTTTGATCTGTTGCAACATGTATATGTATTCTTTTCTGCATCAACTTGTCGCTAGGAAGATTTACTACAACATGTTTATAATCTCACTGTTAAACCACTGAGTGAAACAAAGTGGGAAAATCAAATTGATGCTTTAAAACCTCTCCGCTATCAACTTGGTGATATATACAACGCTCTGGCAGAGATTGCGGATGACGCAAATTTAACAAGAGTATCTGGTAATTCAACACGGAAGATGGTCTATTGTAAATGCTATTTCTAGTTTTAAGTTTGTTGTTTCTCTGGTTGTGTGGTACAACGTGTTTTTTGAGATCAAACTAATAAGCAACTTCAGGCAAAAGAATTAGGTATGCATGGCGCCATAATCTTGAAAAACAAAGAAGTTTCCAGTAAATCACAGAAATGAAATGGAGTTTAAGAAAATACTAGTAGATGCAGTTGAAATTGCAGTCAGTTGAGATACCTGTATTTTTTGAACCCGAATCAACATAAATAAACAATTAACGTATGAAAGAGATAACGAACCTATTCAAGATCCAAAAGAAAAATTCAAAATAAACTTTTACTTTGCTATTCTTAACATAGCAATACAATCTGTTGAAAAGAGATTTACTCTTATACAAAAAAAATTTGTTATTTGGTTTTCTCTATAATCTATGTTCACAGTTTACAAAGTGTAACTAGCAAAGAAGTTATGGAAGATTGCTTGAATCTTGATGAAGCTTTGCAACATGGAGACTCCAAAGATATCGATGCAGTTAATCTATGTTGTGAACTGAAATCATTTTCAAGACAAGTTGCAAGGTGTACATTGCCACTAGATTTACTAAATTTTATATTAAAAAATAATGTAACAGATTGTGTAGCTAACACTGTTATAGCTTTAAGAATCCTCTCGAGACTTCCAATTTCTAAGGCTAGCGGTGAGCAAAGCTTCTTAAAACTCAAACTGATAAACACATTTTTGAATCTTATTCTAGGAAAAAGGCGGTACCCCCTTGTTCTGGCAAACTTAAGCGGAAAATCAGCATTTTTTTTTGCGAAAAAAACAACATTTGCTGTAAAAAAAAAAAAAAAAAAAAAAGTCCTCAACTTTTAATTTTGGGGGCGCCCAAATATGTTTAAAGCTATCAAAAATGGTCTAAAGTAGCCCCTGGCAGCAAGAAAGTCTCTGGATTAGCTACTTTGTCAAGTGAACATGATATTATAAAAAAATTGAACTGACGGAACTTGTTTCTACATTTGCAAAAATAAAAGTGTGAAATGTGAAGTTTTGAAATTATTTATTAATATATAAAGTTTCATGAACATACGCTTCTTTATGATTATGCATGTATGTATTCTTCCAAATGTAAATACAATATGTAATAACATAACTAAAGCATTTATTTGTGAAAGTAAGTTGGGTAGGGGGTAGGGACGCAGTGTGTCAGATTTGCCTAGGCTGCCGAATACTCTGGCGCCAGCCCTGTATATATATACACACACACACACACACACACACACATATATATATATATATATATATATATATATATATATATATATATATATATTTTTTTTTTTTTCGAGCATCACATTAGCAATAAATTTGTAAAAATTTTAATAAAAACCACAATATTTTTTATTCTTGATATGTTTTGTAGTCTTACTACATTTTCGAAAGATTTAATTTACAATAAAACTCTGGTAAATAAATTTAAAAACTGAAGACAATACAGAGAAAAAATTAACGGACAAATAAACTTGTTACAAACCAATTAAATTACAAATTATATTACAAATTAATTGTAAATTAAATCTTTTGAAAATGTAGTTAGACTAAGAAACATGTCAAGAATAAAAAATATTGTGATTTTTATTAAAATTTTTACAAATATATATATATATATAAATATATATATATATATATATATATATATATATATATATATAGGCCTCGGCGGGAAGCGAGAGCCTTAGCTCTAATGATAATGATTTTATAGATAAGGATAGGATAATGATTTTAGCTAATCAACTATCACTGATTTTATTTCAGAAAAATAGAAGTTTTTAGTATAATAAACACAGAAGGTTTAATTTAAGATTTAAGCAAAGAGGTTAAACATTTCTCATAGCAATGGCCCCCAGCAACACACTTTTTTTTTCTTGTTTTGGACTAATTTTTGTATACTTGGCATACTTTTCAAAAACTTAAATTAAAGTATGATGATGAGCAAGTCTGTTCTATACCGTAGATTAAAATAAAATAAGCAAACTACATTTACTTTCAGTGTTATATATGAGCTCTTATTGAGCACTTATTTATCTCTAGAGATGAATAAGTCATAAAACTTTATATGTATATTAGTGTTTATTAATGAAGTTGTATACAGATTTTAATTAGTTAATTTTAGCTAATATAAAAAGTAATAGGAAATAAGAAATTGTATAAGAAAGATATAAGCATGGTCTCTTAACATTTACCAGGAACAAGTTGCAAAAAGCAAGTGATACCAAATTAGTAAAAAAACTTCACTAAAAAAACAATGTAGTGCTAAGAAGCTTAATCTAACTGAATGAAAAACAGTGTTTAGATTATTTAAGGGTTAAACAGATTCTTAAGGGGTAAACAGATTTTATCTGTTGACCAGCCTCAAACCTCTTCTTCATCCATTAGACTAGCGCAGATGTATTTTTAATACATTGTTTCCAGTTTAGGATATTGAACGCTGGATCTTCTTGACTTGATGCATGGGTTTTGCTTGTGTCTCTGTTTTTATGACTAGGCAACTCATTCTATTATCTCCAAATGAGGGTACAGCTCTAAAACTCAGTTTTATGGTTCTGAGGCCGGCTGGTAGTCAGGTTTCCCGAACAAAGAGGCTGATTCCATCAACAGCTGAAAAATATTAGAGTACTAACAGTGCCATGTTGCGCATGGATGGTGTCCCTGTTTGTACTTTTGGTGTGCATTGCCAAGACCACATTGGAGCCCTTTGTTACGGCTTAGGGTTTATTAGTGGAAATTAGGCAATTGCTTGGGCTATAAAACAGTGTACTGAGTACTATCTATGTTTCGAGTCAAGTTCTTTAACAAATTTAAAAATGAATAAAGTAACAAAAACTATAAAACACAATAAACCACAGTCATCACCAAGTTCGCTAAACCTATCATTCACCAATATTCGTGGTCTTCGAAGTAACTTTTCTTCTGTTGAGTCTTATCTCTTGCAAAGTTCACCAGATCTACTTGTTCTTTGTAAGACTAATTGAGTTCAGATATCTCATCTTGTGATCTAAGTGTTGATGATTATCTTCCTTTAATTCGTAGACTCGAATAGGCACATGCTTGGCCTGAGCATTTACATTCGTAAGAATTCACCCATTTGTCGGGAAACTAGGTTTGAATCCACAGACTACTCTTTTATGTGCTTTTGTTTAGCACCACTTCGCTCTATCACCTTTCTCTTTGTTCTATATCGCTCTTCTTCATCTCAAGACTGCACTCTTCTTGATGTTATTTCTGATTATATTGACCAAGCCCTCATTCTTTATCTATCAGCCAATATTGTTGTTGTCGGTGACTTTAATGTTTATCACACTGAATGGCTTGGCTCTAGTGTCAGTGACTCTGCAGGCATTAAGGCCCACAACTTTTGCCTTTTTCAATCCCTAACTCAAATAGTCAACTTTCCAACTCGCTTTCCAGACAACCCGAATCATTTACCTTCTCTACTCGACTTATGTCTTGTTTCTGATCCTAGTCAGTGCTCAGTTTCTCCACATTTACCCTTATGTGCTTCTGATCATGGTTTGGTCTCTCTAAAACTATTATCTCATTCTTCTTTACCATCAGAATCCCCCTATCATCGTACATCTTACAACTACCTTAAAGCTGACTGGGACTCTTTCTGTGATTTTCTTCGTGATGGCCCCTGGGTAGAAATCTTTCCTCTTCCTGTTGACAAATGTGCTTCTTACATAACTTCGTGGATTCAGGCTGGCATGGAATCTATTATTCCCTCTCTACGATTCCATGGTTTTCCTCACATTGTGCTGCTGCAATTGCCATTCAAAACCATTACTTCCATATCTATCAGCAAAACAATTCTCCAGAAAACAGACGTCTGTTTATTACTGCTAGGAACCATTGTAAAAAGGTTTTGTCTTCGAAAATAATAACCGTTTCATAAAAATCATATTGCCGAAAAAATTGTTATTAAAAAACATGTAAAAATGCACCTTTTTAACTTTAGTTAAAAAACTATAGTTATTATGCAATAAAATCTAAAATAATAATTTATATATGAAAAAATTATTATTTTTGAAATTTTCATAAAATTTTGCTTTATTTGAGTACCTACATCAAATAATTTTGAAAAACCTTTTTTTTTGAATAATAATAGGGCCTGCTAATTTTTGTAATTATAGTTGCGGGTGGAAGACATTGTTCAATCCATAAAAGTAAATACTTTCCTAAATTAGTACATAAAAAAACAACTTTCTAGACCATAGCCAGGTAAGCAACTTTAAAAAAAATTTTATGACCTACCCTAATATATATATACATATATGCACATATACATGAATGCAATTTTTGTTATAAACAAACAATGTTATACTGAAAAAATGAGCTGAGGGTTTTAGTACATCAACAAAATGCTTTTAATTATTATTTAACTATTATTTTATAAAATAAATACCGGTTTTATAACTATTTACCAAGTTTGCAGTGAATTTTTTTTTCAAGATAGTGTGGATAAATGTCTGGATACCACCATAAAACTTGAGGAAACTCATTTTCTTTAATTAGATAGGTTTGATGGTTCAATGGTGGAAGAGTTTTAAAGTCATTTGAATAATCTTCTCCTAAACCATTAGGCAAGAGTTTTTATGATGAAAAATATATAAAAGATTTTATTTTATAAACTATTTTAAAATGCTTGCAGTAAGTTTATGATTTTAAATAATTATAGGAAAATTTATAGGGGGTTTGTAAACAAAGTTAGCAATTTGAACTTACTATCACACTCCTCTTTTATCAGACAAAAGCCATTTGGTATGTTCTCATTTAAGCTATACACAAAAGATAAGGTGCCTAAAAAATATAAAGTTCAAAACATTAACATAATTTTAATATTAATCTAGTTCAAATTGGTATTAATAATAAAAATGATATATGATTTAGAGAGTGAGATTGATGACTCTTAACTGGCAGGTGATATATGTTAGGTTGGGTCTTAAGACAACATTTTTGAAAAATACCTGCTATCACCCAGGGGTGGAACCTCCAGTTTTTTCCTAATAGAAATATTATAAATATTACTCAAGTCATCTGCTATAATAAACACTAGACCTGAACTTTTATTTTTTTGGGGTGCTTTTTTCAGGTGAAAAAAACTTTAGAAAAAAAATTTAGAAGTTTTTCCTTCCAAGAGGTTTTTGTTTTTTTCAATTGCTAAGCCATGTAATAAGTTCTAAGATTTGCAATCTTTTCTTAAATTTTTGATATTGAAAGATATAGCTCTGAAAACAAAAGGATACTGTTTCAGTTCACTAAGAGAAAGATTATCAAAAATTTCTATGTTTATTATTAATGTGTTTTATTACATTAGTTTTGTTTGGAAAAAACTTAATAAAAATTAATTTTACTAATGAAAAACAAGAATAATACAAACAAAAATATATCAAAAATACTTTCCTATTTCTAACTCCAAAGGAATATCAAAACACACTAATTAATTTTTAAAGCAAACAAAGAAAATTGACTTAAGTTTGTTTTAAAAGAGATTTGATAGCAGAACTATACAGAAGTATACTGTAGTATATTAAGTAGAAATATTAAGTAAAATATTCATTTAAAAAATATTGAGAAGAATTTGAACAAAATGTTTTTTTAAATAAATTTTTATTCACCGAGCATTCTGAGGTTCCTTAACCTAGCATTTTGTAGTGGAACATAAAAAAGTAAATAGGGTAAGTGAACCAAGCATTTAAAAATATACTCAGCAGAGAAAATAATGCTTTTATGCAAAAATTTATGATTTTCTAACCAAAATTGGAAGCAGCACAACCTGATATTTAACCTGAAATTCTAAGGTGCCTATTGAAAAAAGTATATCCTAAATATTTATTTAAAGATACATGAAAATGATATCCCAAAAAATTAAACCTTTTTGAAATTCCACCAGGATTAATTTGCCAACTCTTAAAATAAAAAACTAAGTGGCTGCGAAATATTTTGTCTTAAACAGTATCTTAAAAAACACCTAGCATTTTGAGGTTCTTTTATTTAAATGCAGATGAAAAGACTCCAACCTGTTGTAAACTCTATAAACTTTATTCCAAAAAAGTAAAAAAAAAAAATTAAATGATAAAATTAAAAAAGTTTTAAGCTTTTCAAATAAATTGTAAAAAAAAAGCAGCATCAACATAATCCTATTAAACTTGTCATACAGAACTAAAACTTTAAACTTTTGGGTTAAATCACAAAGATTGGAGAGTATAGATGAGTTTCCATGCGACGTCACATCTTTTTGTAAACATGCGCGCAAATACTTGTAGGTAGAAAAAATAAATACGCAAGAACTTTAATATGCTTCTTGTATTTCTTTTATACCCTAAAATCAATATTTCCTTTGATAAAATATTAAAAGAATAACAATTAAAATAAAAATTTTTTAAACAAATTTTGGTAATAAAAATTTATATTATTATGAAAAACTTGAGTTTAAAAAATTTTTAAAACAGATGTTCTTGAACTCATTTTAAATTTAAAATTTGCTCTTGCAAATTTTCTACTCTTTTTAAAAATATTTTGTTTTTGGAAGTCAACAATAACACTTAATTTTTCAAATTAATTAACAATAAGTAAACTGAGGCTAATTTTTTTTGTATTCTCTCCTGCAGTTAAAAGGTAAACAAAGTTTCATTTTAACAATTAAAAAAAATCTTATTCTCAAAATGATTGATAAATTGACAATAAATGGTAGGAAAGTTTACTGTATATGGCAAAGACCAAGTTTTGGAAAAATGATACCATGCAATTTCGCTAACTGCAAATATGAATGGAACAAATATTCATTACACTTGTGTTGGACTAAACGAGCTCCCAAAAGTACTAAATGGTTTTGCAAAGAATGTAAAACCAAGCAATAAACGATAACAAATATTACTCTCCTTTAATATGTAATTAGATTTTTAAAACTGTAAAAATTGCTTCTCTGTAAATTTGTTTTTTACATTTGCATTAATCAAGTAACTACACTCATATTGATCAAAACACTTAATCCATTGTATGCATCATCAATACCGTGCGCGAAAATGCTGTCAGGTTTGCTTCTTGATAAAAAGTACGCAGAATTGGAAGAAAATCTGAAAATTTAACGCTCGTCAGTGATGGTTGAACAAATATTGGTAGCGATCATATATGAATTTTTGTATCAAGGCACCAAATACAAAACTGTTTTTCTATACTTCAATTAACACATCATTCAAAGCGCTGCAGCTGTTGCTGGTGCTATCATCAAAGTAATCGAGACTCTCCGCCTACAAAAGTTCAGAAGCATTATCACTGACAACGCTCCAGCAATGAAAACTGCTTGGAATTTAATTGAAGAAAGATTTTCACACATCTTGACGTATGGTTGTGCAACACACGGTATGAATCTTCTCGTTAAGGACATTTTGAGTACTGCTGAAAAAGTTATCAAGTTTGTTAAAAATTATCACATTGTTATGGCAAAGTTTGATGAAATGAGAATTGCAGTTTATGTTTATTGCTCATTCAAATGTGTATACTCACAATGCCTGTTTCGACTCAATGGCTCAACCATTAATGATTGAGCCATCGAGTCAAAACAGGCATTCAATGATTCAATGACCATCCTTTGTATGGCAAAGTCTGATTTGATTCAACTTGCAGATAAGAAAAATGCATCTATGAAAGAAATTGCTTTAAAAAACGAATTCGGCCGCTGTTTTGACGCTAATTAAATCAAATGTTTTCTGGGATTGTTTGGCAAAACTTGTGAAAGATATAGAATATCCTTCCAACATCATTGGAAGACATGAAAATGATGATGCTCCATTATCTTTTTTTATTTTCAAGTTGATTAAGGTGCCCCAAGAAGTCCTTACGGTCTTATCACAGAGCACCTCGGAAGAGCATTTAATAGGAAGTTCATGCCTCCTTCCCAACTGAGGTCGCAAAACTTGCCCAGATTTTGGGTTTGAACCACATATACATATATATATACATATATATATATATATATATATATATATATATATATATATATATATATATATATATATATATATATATATTAGAGCTTTTGCTGCCTATGAAGAAGGATGCCTAGTAGAATATATATATATATATATATATATATATATATATATATATATATATATATATATATATATATATATATATATATATATATATATATATTAGAGCTTTTGCTGCCTATGAAGAAAGATGCCTTGTAGAATATATATATATATATATATATATATATATATATAAATATTTATATATGTTAGTGTGTGTGTATGCATTAATGTATAAATATATATATATATACATATGTACATATATATATATATATATATATATATATATATATATATATATATATATAAATATATATATATATACATATGTACATATATATATATATATATATATGTACATATGTATATATATATATATTTATACATTAATGCATACACACACACTAACATATATAAATATTTATATATATATATATATATATATATATATATATATATATATATATATATATATATATACATGTGCATACATATATATATATATATATATATATATATTATATATATATATATACATATGTACATATATATATATATATATATATATATATATATATATATATACATGTGCATACATATATATATATATATATATATATATATATATATATAAATATATATATATATATATATATATATATATATATATATATATATATATATATATATATATATATATATATATATATTTACAGTTAGACTTACAAGTTTTCGTTTTGGAGCATCGATAAAGTATTATTTCATGATTAAACATTTAAATTTGAAAAGAGCTGCACAAATCATGATGATGTCATTAAGATTATCAAGAAGTGATATAGGAAATTCTTGTCCAATTATTCGAAAAGTTTTTTTTCTTCTAATTATCTGTTCAATGAGAATTCTGAGTTTAGCAATATTACTTGTTTTTACTACTTCTTCAGGTGTCATTTGAGAAGTTCCTTGTTTTCCAGGTGGGGAAACATAAGGTAATCCTATAAGCAGCACACTCACTAGTAATATTAAAACCTTTATCAGCCATGATTGAAGAATAAGGAGGGAATTTTGTAAGATAATCACAATCCAATGTTATTGCCTTATCTGATATTCTTCCAGAATATGCTTCCAAAACAAAATTTATGAAAGAGCTAGATGTAACTGATAAAAAGAACTTCATTGTTTTGTGGTGCTTGTACTCAGACAATGTTGCAGATTGCAGTTCTAAATCTTTTGGTGATTTTGTCATTTGTTAATAATATTTTGTTGACTTTTTTTAAAGATTATTTTTGACTTTATTTTTAATTATATTTACTTGAATTTGTAATTTTTTGTTTTGAAAAAGAAGATTGTGATTTAATTTTTGTAATTTGTTAATAGTTTTTTTTTAAGCTACTTATTAAAAAAGTTGATTCTTGAACGAGAAACTAGAACATAACTGTTTAACAGAAATAGTGTCTTGATATTTGATCAACTATTGTATTAAAGTATGTATTAAAGTTAACATTTGATTTGTATTTTTTAAGTAAAGGCTGTGTGTAGTCGGTATTTATTATACTGTTTCTATTTAGAGGTCGAGAGCTAGGGTACAAAAGAGCAAATTTATGCCTAGAATCATATTCAAAGTTCTCAGTGGGATAAGGATATTTTATAGTAGGCTCTTTATCTTTAAAATGATTAGAACAAACTCGTGCATCTTTCTTTAGGCAGAAAAAAATTATTTGTCCCAGTAGTGTTTAAGCGGTTAATTAGTTTGATCCAAATTTC